TTCGTTCACGAACGTAACATCACTATCTGGCAGATGAAGCGACCACAACACACTACAGAGTTTCAATGTTATGTGTACAAGTAGAAACCTTACATGTTTGTGTTTGATTTGTTCATTTGATAAATTCATTTTCCCATTAAAGTGTGACAATAAAATATAACATAAGCTTATATTATTCAATAAGACTTAATGTAGGTCTACTCTCTCTCTCTCTCTCTGTACACACACACACACACACACACACGTCTATATTACTAACAGGGGACTATCGCTCTCTACACTGGCCAAGAGTGGACTAGTGTTTCTGGTCATTTTGAAGAAACAACAATGACATACAAAAATTCTCTTTTAAGGTCTTTTTTTCATAACAACTTTAAATATAATTTTTTTTAATAATAATAATAAAAAAAAAAAAAACATGTCAAGTGGGGACCTGAAACTCTGGCTGATGTCTACCTTACCAACAGCGGACTCATATAGCCTGGATCTGTGTTTGTGTGAACAGTGAAATGAAGTGGCAGTGAAATATGTCTTCATTTTGTATTTTATACATACTTATACACATATATATGTGTGTGGGTGTGTCATTATATAATGCTCAAACAGGCATCAGAGATCACAATATCAATGTGTATAGATAAACACATACAATGTAAAAAAAAAAAAAAAAAAGAATAACCAAACCACCAGCTATCAAAAAATAATTATAAAAGTTAAATTGTTTGAGGGTAAAAATACAGATGGTCACATAAGATTATGAGAAGATGCCTCTTTTCATAATATTGTTTTTCTTATTTAACTCTCTCTCTAACTCTTGTATTTAACGATTTACTTGCCGTTGTTATGTGCCTTTGCACACACACACACGTCTATATTACTAACATATACATGTCTATATTACTAACACAGCAGTGTCGCTCCACACTGGCCAAAAGGGAACTTTTTTAACGATATCTATCCAACCAAGTGGGGACTTTGTGTGTGAAGCCAAACTGACATTGTCAATGGTAAGCAGACCTTTCTGCAGGTATCACTGCAGACATTGAAACATCTCAACATTTTCCTATAGTGTTGCAGGTTGTGTTATCACTGACTATGATAAAACTTTTCAGTTTGAAAAGTCAAGGTTTTAAAAATATAAAAAATTTAAAAATGGATTCAACTAAGAAGGTTAGAGGAGCTGCTTTAAAGGTGCAATGTGTAACAAAGTTGAGTATCTATTAACAGAAATGCAATATGACATCCATAACTATGTTTTCAGTGGTGTATAAAGAACTTACTTAATTAACCGTAATGTTTTTATTACCTTAGAATGAGACATTAATAGCTCCATAACCGCGGGAATCCCCTTCTATGAAGGTCGCCATGTTGTGACGTCATATTCCTACTGTAGCCGAACGCGAACACACAGTGCTACAGAACGCGTTTCATCACTACCTTGAAAGAGAAGTAGCGGAAAGCTAGCCTTACACTCCGTGAGTAGTGACTTTTCCCTTGTGAGTGGTGTAAAATATGTAGTTGGGATTGTTTCATGTAACTTAGTTCTCCCTCGCTGTGTTATGGGTTTGTTATGTTGGGGATAGTGCTGTTACGTTCGTGAGACAGCTGATGATTAGTATTCATGTCATTGACCGTAAAACAGTACGTTACAGGAATCACTAACCCGTCGATAGAGACTTTTACTAAAGTCTTTTATCACTAAAGTCGATCGCGAAGATTTTTCAAAATCAGAGAAAAAAAGCCTATTGTGTGTAGTAAATAGTATCTATGGGATGCGGAGATGACATGATTGTAACAGCGCGCGCAGTTCCGACCTTTGGACTCATGCGGACGAGTCCCAGCTCAGCCACAGTAACAGCTCATATTAGCCAGCTAAACTATTACTACCCTGTTAGAAAAAATATATAGCTGCTCCCTCGCTGTATTATGGGTTTGCTACAGTATGTGGGGATAAATGTGCTGCTGGTTACGTTTGTGAGACAATCAGCTGATTAATATTATTTTATTAAATTATATATTAAAACCCTTGATCCTCACCTGACTATGGCTTTGTAAACAGTATTTATGATGTGGTTTATAATGGACTGTGGTACAGAAACAGTGACAATGTTACACACTCTTGGCTTACTCTGGCTATTCTCTGCTGTCTCAGCCGACGAGATGTTTGTCCCGTTTTAGCAACCGTGAGCAGTGGGCTGAGCCCTTAGTGCAAACCTGGTGCAAACTCGCAACCGAACCACTAGATGTCGCTAAAAATCACACATTGCTCCTTTAATGACTGTATTCCTACTATAATGAATTGTTAGACCAAAATAGCTTTATTTTTTAGATGTTACTGATTTGGATGTATGTTGTATTTTTTGCTATGTTTATTTTTTTCTTTTAGATCACCAAGAAGTTGAGTGGGCCTGCGAAAGGCACAGCACAGTGGCTTACCTCAGTAGGCAATGAGGTAGGTCAGGTGCTGATGAGTCTATGTGTATGTTTACAACATTCATATATGTTATACTATACTATGTTATGCACCAGTATACATATTTATGTTATACTTTTAAATACTATGTTATACATATTTAAAAAGACATGAATAGGCAAAAACATGTTTTTTTTTTAAATCACCAATATAATTTTTTAGGTTTCAGGATACAAATGATTCTCAATTTGATCTATTTGATGATCATATTTTTATGAATTGTCATATACGCCTTTATGTTTTATTTTGTGTTTCGTAGTAATCTCTGCCATAAAAGCTAAATGAAACAAAACCATTTAAGCATGGCATGATACCAGCAAGATTGTACCAAGAAGTGGTATTTATTTTCTTATTAATAAGTTCATCACACTATTTACAATTTGTACACAAGGCAATTCAAAGTGATTCACAGTTGTATAAAAAACAACAATAATGCTTATGAACATAATAATAATAATAATCATTAATTATTATAATATTATAATAATTAATTACATAAAAAACAAATACTGTAGTAAAATACTTTCAGTTGGAATATGACAGCTATGTAACGTTCTGTTTATGCCTGAGTCCTTTCAGATAATGTATGCATACCCAGTTTTACGAAGAACCTCTGAGGGTCGACTCCTTATGGGGCCAACTGAGGATGCCAATAGGAGGGAGATTGTGTTGGCAGGGAGGGCCAGGAGTAAGGAGGAGGTCCTGGCTGAGGCCACTGCCTTTATGAGGCAGAATGGAGAGAATCCTGGAGACCAGTTCCTGGTTCTGGCTCACTGCAAGATCCAGTTTGGGAAACACCAGGGTCAGAGGTTCCTGTGACTCCTGGAGAACTCACTGGGGTATGCCTGCTATCTGGTCAGCAGCATTTTGGGGGAGGAGGAGAGGGACAACCCGCTGTCGGCCAACAAACACCTGTTCCTCAGATACACCTTGGCGAGGTTGGCGAGGCTGTGGAGGTGTATCAGAAAAAACAGGCCATGCTGTAGGAGGCCGAGAGGACAGGAGACTCTGGATGTCTGATGGTGGAGTTTGGGGATTTTAAGGGTAGGTCAATGAAGGAGGTGTATGAGGACCCAAACAAGGAGGCCCAGGCTCTCATCACCTACCTGAAGAAGGCAAAGTAAAAAAGTGAAAGTCTAAAACAATAAGATAATTTTGTTGTGTTTTTTTACGCTCCAGCCACTGCAGGCTCGAGAGGCCCTGCTCCTGCCCCGGCTCCTGCTCCTGCCCCTTATCCTGCTCCTCCAGCATTGTGGACCCCTGGCCAGGTGTCCCAGTCGCCTGCAGAGCTTCCTGTCCACTGGAAAGAGCAACTCCCATCTTTCCAGCAGGACTGGATCAGGAAGACTCTGTTCAGGGTCAACTTAAAAACAGGGAAGCCTGAGCTGGTGCCACATCCCAACTTCTGGTGGTACCCTCCCCAGCCCCCGACCGTCTTCACCCAGCCCCCTACTTCTCCTGATATTTTCTTCTGCCGCCTCTGTTCCTCTGGATGCCGCTGAAGATGTGGTCCATTCCACTTGTCTGTGTCCAGCCAGCCTGCAATAACCACAAGCTGATAGCTGCTGGCCTTTATCGCACTGTGCGCAAGGTCCTGGACATAGACGGGTGGTATGACATGGCCACAGAGTATCTGGAGTGCAAAGGGTGCAAGAAGAAGTATCCCGCCTGGTCTGAAGACATCCTGGGATAGCTCGACATGGGACACCGCAGAAAATTCCCCGCCATTCTGACATACAGGTAGAACACATTCGTATTTAGAGCAATTCACTGTAATTTGTTGTACTGTATAAAATCAAATATGTTGCTTTACTGACATTGAAATAATAAGATGTGGCACTGAACAGAATTATTTAACTGTCTGTAGGTACTCGTGTGACAACCGTGTAGTCATAATGATGCGGGAGAGGACCCGGGGAAACAGTGTCACACAGCTTTACAAAAAGCTGCAGGAGCTGCACACCTCAGCGTGGTCACAGCGGACGCTGGAGTACCTCACTGTCTGTGAGCCCTTCACAGACTCCTTTATTGTTGAGCCTCCACTCTTTTCTGCGCCCCCGCAACCTCCCACCCATCCCCAAACCCAAGTGGCTGTTGTCTGTGTATGCCAGGGACGTCCTCTCGCGGCTACCTGAGGACAAGGCCAAAATAACCCCAGTCTTTGGCTCTGTCCTCAAGATGGACTCCACCAAAAAGGTATAAAAAGCCAAGTTTAAGTAATAATAATTGTTATTATCTTAAATTTTTCGGACAATTGTTTTGTTCTACTGTTTTTTTTTTTACATAGGTCACCAAAAAACTGGCCCGCGCTGCTGCCAACACTGCTGGTTGGTGCACTAATGTTGGCAATGAGCACGGCCAGGTGTTGGTGTCAGTCCTCACAGCGGCAGAGGGGCATGGATTGTGGCCCATGGCGGTGGGTCTCATGAAGAGGTACAGGGAGGCGGGAGTGGCACCACCCGCCATCATGTATGTGGACAGAGACTGCTGCAGTCCACGTGCACACAGACAGTCGCAGGTCAGAGCCATGTTCATAGAGTGGGATGAGCTCCAAGTGAGCCTAGACATTTGGCACTTCATGCGGCGCTTTGCAGCAGGTGTCATCACAGAGGCTCATCAGCTCTACGGCACCTTCATGGCTCGGCTTTCCAGGTGCATCTTTGAGCTGGATCCTGATGATGTCACTGCTCTACGGTTGGCCAAACAGGGGGAGTTACAGGCCAGAGGAGCTGGTCCAGTCTCAGAGAAGGCTCTGGATAAGCTGATTACCAGGAAGGAGTTGGCACTGCACTGTCGGAAGCGGACCAGAGGAGTGGAGGAGACCACCTGGAGGATCAAGGCGCTCATTGATGAGATGGACAGTGAGAAGGGGAGGGACACTCTGGGTGTACCATTGCTGGACCACAAGCGAATCCAACAGGTCTGGATAGACCAGCAGAGGCACATCGCCTGTATTCAGGACCCAGAGGGCTTCCCTCTGTACCAGAAGACAGACACACTGAAGAAGGGTGGTGTGGAGCTCAGCTGCTATCGCTGTGCTCGTGGCTCCACCTCCTTGGAGTCTTTCCACCTCCATTTAAATCGCTTCATCCCAGGTAGGTTATAACTTTTATAACCTGCAAAAAACTTTAAACTTTTATAACCTATTCTGCCATACTGAATACATAGGTAACATATATTTGACTTTATTTGACCTGTAGGGACCAGTGCCAGTGATGCGCATTTCCAGGCCTATCTCCTGGAAGGCCTGATGCGCTGGAACCAGGACCGGATGGATGAAGCAGTGAGGGGAAAGACTGCCCTGAGGATCTACAGTAGCATTGAGAGGGAGGCAATGGACCGGCTCAGCCGCAAAGTGCTGAAGGTGTCCCTGGATGACCGCTACCAGCCTCCAGGGGCTTACACAGGTAAGAATTATTCATGTTAACTCAAACAAAAGATTATACATTATACAGGGGTATGAGTGTTTGAGTGTACATTTTTTATATTGTATTTCAAATAATTCAACTATTGGTGGAGTTATTTGTGCTTTGTTTAATTTAGGCTTAATTTGACCCTTTATAGACTTATTTCTTTGCTTTCTTTTGCTAAAGTGAATTTGCTTTATTTTGCATTTATGCTTATTATCTTCTTGTTTTTTATTTTCATTTATTGATCTGTTAAACTGTATCAAGCCTACAAACTTTTTTGTTTCAGTGTCTTATGGACAAATAGCCACTACAGCTATAATAATGTGATATACTTTGTATAATGTGCTTTGTATATGTGTTCTTTTGCAGGGGAGCTGCTGGGTATGGAGTATCTGTACAGTCAGTCTGGGAAATCCCTGACTGTTATGGATAACCCAGAAGAGGAGGATCGGCTGGTGGAGCAGATGACTGATGAGGTGGTGCAGGACGAAGGCTTTGTTGAGGAGGAACCTGAGGACCTCACAGTGCCAGTCCTCTATGACCCCATTGAGCCTGTCCTAGTCCACAGCAGCAGCCCCCAGGCCTTCAACCCCTGTCCCTCTGCACCAGGACCATCCTCACTACAGCCACCCACAGGACTGCAGCACCCTGCCCAGCCTCCTCTGCAGTCGCCTACTCTGCGCCCAGCCCACCCTCTTCTGCAGTCTCCTCCACAGCCTTATGTCCAGCCAAGTGCTGCCTCTGCTCCTGCAACATCAACTGGGTCCAGTGTTGCAGACCAGGCTCCTGTAAGTAAGCTTCTCATTATTAGTTTCTATTTGCTTTTGCACTCTGACATTTAACATGCTGTGTATTGTTATTGTAATAACCTGCAGGCTTCTGTTCTTGGACCCGATGGCGTTGCAGGCTGGGATAAGGTGCAGGATCTGGCTGAGTACCTGGTGTCCCTCCGTCAGGCACTCTACCTGGACGAGCAGCAGGTCACAGAGGTCATCCGTCTGTGGACTGCTCTTCATGATGGGGACAAGAGGAAGATTCACTGTCAGCCCAGACACCAGCCCAAACTGACCCGCGGACGCTTCAAGGCTCCGAAAAACACAGGAGTGACACCGGGTGTGGACAGTGTGAAGAGGTGCCTGATTGGTCATCTTGGGGGGCCGGCTTAGTGGCCCAGCACCAGTCGCTTAGTTGAGGCCATGTGCATCAAACTGTGTGCACTGCACAAGTCCCCAACTAAGAAGGATGGAGTCCGTCTTCCTCATTGGACTAAGGTGCTCACGGATTACCACCACATCCGAGACCTGGTGCTGAACTGCCAAACTCGGATGGAGGCCACATCACTTCAGCTGTTTATGCTGAATCAGAGGACTCTCACTCAGTGGTAAGCATGGTTTTACATTGACATTTGAAAGAAAGGGATAGCAGTCATTTATTATGAACACATTTTTGATTGCAGGTTTAATCGAAGGGAGAACACCCAGGAAGTGACTGTCCTTACCCAGGGCCTTGCTGCAGAAGACTGCATAGCTGTGGCCAGCTCACAGCTTCCTGCTCCGCGGGAAAAGCTGGATGAGGCTCCCTCCACATCAGTGGCCCTGCACGAGTTTGTCCTTCCTCCTAACAGAGCGGGACATGCTCCTAAGCTACGGCCGGGCAGACGACCTGCCAGTGCTACAATTGTGCGGCCAATTATGCCAACAGCTCCTACTCCTCCCCTTAGTTCCTGTGCCACTGCCCCAGTTAATTTTATTGAACACTGCGCCCACGCTGCTGGTAGCTGGTGCAGGTGGCGCTTCAGCTGCTCCTCTCCTTGCGTTAGTGTTTCCTGACTTGCAAGAGGCTCCTGCTCCCACTGCCCCGGTGCCTGTATCCCGCTTCACTCAGAGGAACAGACGACGCAGGGCAGAAGAGGAGGCCAGTGGAGCCCACAAAAGGAAATATGTCCGTGAAGTGTCATTTAACAAATGCTCAAAGTGTGGGATGCCCAAAACCAAGGAGTTTGGCTCCTTCTTTTTAGTCGCTCCTATATGCGACTAAAAAGGCCCTCTTTGAATGTCACCTGTCAAATCAAAATTGACAATTCAATGTCTATATATTTATGTGTGTGTGTGTGTGTGTGTACTTATTTCAATATTTGTGTGTATTCATTTTAATAAAAAAAATACATTTCGATATTTGTGTGCTTTTGTGTGTATAAAACATTGGACATTTAAAACATATATTTGACAAGTATATATATGTTTCATTTATATGAAACATTTAAAACATTTTATTTAGGACACAAGTGTCCTAAAATAATATTTGAAAAAACATTTGTATTAGTTTTATTAAACCATAAACATGTCAAGTCACATTTATTTATATAGCGCTTTTCACAATACAGATTGTATCAAAGCAGCTTCACAGTGATAACATGAAAGTAGCACAACACAGATCAACAACATTGCTAACCACTAAATAACCCCAACTGAGCAAGCTCAAAGCAAGCCAAAAGCAAGGCGACAGTGGCAAGGAACCAAACTCCATCAGATTGGATGGAGAAAAAACCTAGGGAGAACCCAGGCTCAGTCGGGGGCCAGTTCTCCTCTGGCTTACATTCATATTGTTTAAATATAAATATTAAATATAAATATTGTTTATGAATCAAACGGCGCCATTACATATCGCAGGCGTTGAGTCGTCTCATCACAGGCGTTGAGTCGTCTCATCACAGGTGTTGGGGCTTCCGAAATCCCCGTGAGAGGCTGGACACAAAACTGGACCTGACGAACGCCATTTTTCTCGGGACAAGCGTCCCGAGATAACAGCAGAAAGGCAGATGGGAAATAATTAGCATAGCTGATGTTCATAATGATTTCCGTTATAACTCACAAACTCTCCGTAACCTGAACTCTCCGCAACCCAACCATACGCGCCGACCCGTTTGTCTAAAAGGCTGTCGAGCCCCACTGGTGCGTTAAGCAGTTTCAGTGGCAAACGGTTCCGTATGGCATAACAGGGACTAGAAGGTAAGCATTATGTGAATGCTTGACTAAAGAGAAGCGTCTTTAATCTAGTTTTAAACTGTGTCAGCGAGTCAGAGGCTCGGACCGTATCGGGAAGGCCATTCCAGAGTTTTGGAGCTAAATGCGAGAACGCCCTCCCTCCTTTACTGGACTTCGATATCCTAGGAATGACCAGAAGCCTTGAATTTAGTGATCTTAAGGAACGCTGTGGATTGTAGGGCGAAAGAAGGTCCGTTAAGTACATAGGAGCTAAACCATTTAGGGCTTTATAGGTCAGTAGTAGTATTTTGTAGTTGATGCGGAACTTAATAGGTAACCAGTGTAGAGATGATAAAATCGGTGTTATATGATCATATTTTCTTGACCTAGTAAGAACTCTAGCAGCTGCATTTTGCACTAACTGTAGCTTGTTTATTGAGGATGCAGGACAACCGGCTAATAAAGCATTACAGTAATCTAGTCTCGAGGTCATGAATGCGTGAACTAATTTTTCAGCATCAGAAATTGATAGCATGTTACGTAGCTTAGCAATGTTTCTAAGGTGGAAAAAGGCTGTTCTTGTAACATATGAAATATGATCTTCGAAAGACAAGTTGCGGTCTAGTATAACACCCAGGTCTTTTACTGTAGTGGATAAAGTAACAGGACATCCGTCTATATTAAAGTTGTATTGTGAGAGGTTTTGTGAGTAGTTTTTTGGACCAATAAGTAATACCTCCATTTTATCTGAATTTAATAGCAGGAAATTACGTGTCATCCAGCATTTTATATCTTTGAGACACTCTGTCATTTTAGATGAGTTAGTGTTTTCATCTGGTCGTGATGAAATATATAATTGAGTGTCGTCAGCTTAACAGTGGAAATTAATTCCATGTTTTCTTATAATATTACCAAGTGGCAGCATATATATTGAGAATAGCAGAGGGCCTAAAACCGATCCTTGCGGTACTCCATAGTCTACTGACGTTATCTTTGATTTTTTCCCATTTAAACATGTAATATGCTTTTTAAAAAAATATATATATATATATCAGTGATGCGCGGGTTGATCCAAAATGAGCGGGTGCCTGCAGTCACCCGCGGTTACCCGCAGTTACGGGTCATCCAAAAATGTTTTTAATGATATTCGGGTCGCGGTCAGTCGGGTCGTTTGAAAAAAGATGCCAATTAAACATTTGTATTAGTACTAGACACAATTTTTGATGAAATATACAGCCCTACACATTATTGGCTGAATAGCTGGCATGAAGATAACACACAAGCTCAGTCTAAACAGTTCTCGGTTCTATACTAGTGATTCGAAAACCGCTGTCCCTGTGTCTATTCGCAGTATCAGCTGCTCGTGCTCATCAATTCTCTCAACAGTGGCACCAACATGTCTCGGTTCAGTGAACTGTTGGAGTTACTGGAGTAAAATAGAATTCAGGATATTGATTTATTTCGATTCGGAGGCGACTGTCAGGCATGTCTGAAAGTAAGTAACTAACTTGTGGATCAGCACTGACGCAAGACGCGAACTGTTTCGAACGATTCAGTTCGATTTAGTGTAGGTTCGACCGGTTCACTAAAAAGAACCGGTTCAAAAGAATGATTCGTTCACGAACCGGCCATGTCTATGATCACTACAGTCTGCAGAGATGATGGAGGTGGCACGAGAAAAGGTGAAGACTGTGGAGTGGAAACTCTGCAAATACACAAATAGAAAGAGTAAAAGTGTGGGAGACATTTGCTAAAATAATGAAATATGATGACCAAAGTGCTATGATGATTGAAAGTGGGGTATGATTCTCGCTTAGGGTGCGAGTGGTCCCGGGTTCAAATCATGGACGGGCCCGTTCTCAGGCTTTGCTTTTAATCACTTCAGCCTGACCAGGGCAACCAGGATATTTCTTGGAAATTGGGGACAAAAGCAGTCAGAGTCGGGCCGGTTAGCTCAGTTGGTTAGAGCGTGGTGCTAATAACGCCAAGGTCGCGGGTTCGTTCCCCGTACGGGCCAAGCTTTTGGTCTCTGCTCATCTCGAAAATGACGGGCGGTCTCCCAGAAATCCCTGCTGGACAAACCGCTTGATGACAGACCTGGCCGAAATAGCTCAGTTGGGAGAGCGTTAGACTGAAGATCTAAAGGTCCCTTGTTCGATCCCGGGTTTTGGCAGAGCAGCCTGGTCACCGTGTTTTTGGTCGACGGACTCCACTGACCAAATGCCAGCTCCTGTCAACCTGATTCCGCCTATTCTCATCGCTATCTGCCTTTCAGACGGCCAGGGACCAGGGCGTGTTGGTTCCATGGTGTAATGGTTAGCACTCTGGGCTTTGAATCCAGCGATCCGAGTTCAAATCTCGGTGGAACCTTTTCAGCTTGTTTTCCGGAAGGACGGGAAAAAACTGAGCTGATGCGCAACCGCTGATGTGGTGGTGAAACTGGCACTCTAAAACCAAGGCGGTATCGGGGAAACGTGGGCTTAATAAGAAAAAGCTTCACTTGCTCTTTGCTGTCCACCTACTAGGCTGAATGACTAAACACCTCTGCTGCTCGGTGGTAAAAATCCACCCACGCCAAGGTTCCATGGTGCAATGGTTAGCACTCTGGACTCTGAATACAGCGATCCGAGTTCAAATTTCGGTGGGACCTGCTTTTGACAGGAATGTGTGCAGTACCGCGTCCGAAAAAACTTTTCCACAGCGCTCATCCGGGGAGTGCCCTTTTGAAGTGAGCGTAAAAGGCGTTACACAAAGTGGAGAATGCGGGCATCGATTCCGCTATCTCTCGCATGCTAAGCGAGCGCTCTACCATTAGAACTAATTCCCCTCCACGATGTGGAGAGACGGTGTCCTTCGCTCTCAAAGACAACGGCCTGGACGATCCCTTTCATCTCTGCAAGTGCTGTAGCGTGGCCACAAAGCAAAGAGACCGTATTTTTTCTGTGCCGGCAACTTTGCACTGGCTACCGTTTAGTTGCACATTTAATGAAACTTTTGTGCTTTAAGCCTTGCAAACGGAAATGATTGCAGCCAGGCAGCAGCAGGAAGGGCGTGTGTGTTGGCTCGTTGGTCTAGGGGTATGATTCTCGCTCAGGGTGCGAGTGGTCCCGGGTTCAAATCATGGACGAGCCCGTTCTCAGGCTTTGCTTTTAATCACTTCAGCCTGACCAGGGCAACCAGGA